CCGTTGCTCAGGGGGTGAGCCGGGCCGGCTCCAGAACTGGGCTCAGCCACAAGGAGACCTGTCTGTTGGCGGAGATATGGAGAATATTCGACAGCAGTCCTTCGCTCCTCTGCTGAATTGACAAGTCTAAGTCTAAGTTCTTTTCATTTAATTTCCAAGCTCCGGCACCCGAAGCTCCATGCGCCGCTGCAGCCAGTAATAAGTGACCTTAAACATGACGTTTGAGTTGTTGTGCTGCTTTCAAATTTCCTGTGACTGCCTTGCAGCGTTGTTTTGCCGAGAATAATTCCACGTGATGTTTGTTCACTCCGAGAACTGTTGGCATTGTTGTTGCGGAACCCTGATAATCAATGCAAATCCAATGATGATGAGGACAGTCTCAGTGACAAGAATGTTGAGCATTGCAGGCCTAGCCTAGTAATACTGGCCTGGGGCGTGTCCATGTTTCCAGCAAGTGCTGCTCAGCACGCTGTGAATTTGCCGGCACAGCGGGTGGAAATGGCACTGGAGGACCTGCTGATGGCCTAATCTGTGTGGATGGCTGTACTTTTCAGGTCGGCAACCCTGAGTATGTGGCTGCCATTGATAGACGGCTGCAAATGACAAGCTCGGCGCTGGCAGCAGTGGTGGAGTTGTCTGATGACGATATTGCAGGACCCACTTCAAGAGATAGGGCTGTCCATTCAGAAGGCAGGAGGCATGATGCTTCATGTGTTTCGTTGGCAGCAGTGGCGGAATTGTCTGGTGCTGATGTTGATGACACTGGGCCCAGTTCACGAGACAAGCCAATGCTGCCGGTGGCTGAAGGCACATCATCCGGCAAACGGAAGCGTCCAGCGGCGAATTATCACGCCGTTCGCAGGCAGGTGCTTTCTCTGATGAACAAGAGATGCTACTGCTCAAGGAAAAACAAGACTCGGTCTTCCTGCTTGGAGCAGTTCCGGGGGCAAGCGGACGCATTGGTTGAGTTGCAGCTGCGCTTACGTGCTCTCGGCAAGCACGACATGGACAAGGAGGCCATTCAAATTTAATTTCATATTCATTCCCCAGCTAGCAGGACCGTGACTCTGACTCCGCGTGTCTTGCTGCAAGCTTTTTAATTGCAACAGGGTTGATTTGGAATGTGCTGCTGCACGGCATTCGACGTTATTATTGTGCCTTGTCCCTGTCCTGTGAATAGTAACAGTGCAGTTGCTGAATAGGCTTTTTTCCTTCCTGAACGGGTCCGACCGAGTCCGTGATAATGCTCGTTGTGCAGGTCGTGAATATGATCACTTCCTGCCGCAAGAGAAACACCACGGAGGACCGCACCACATTCAGCCAGTCCATCCTGGACACTCCTGTATGCCAGGATGCTTTCGGGCGACTGCTGTTTATCGGAAAGGAACGAATGCAGAAACTTTGGAAAGCTGTGAGATCGGCGTCCCTCCACCCAGGGATGGACGCTTCTTGAAGCAAACTCGTCAGTACCGGAAGATGCAAGGATCCACGGAGAAACAGCAGGCGGTGGTCGAGTTCTTGACGGAAATGCATGCCACTGTGGCTGAGTACATGCCCGAGGCAAACCGTGCCCGGGACACCGCCAGCCCGGTTCCCAAGACGACTGAGTCTCAGAATGGCAATGACACTGTGCCAATTGGTCTGCGTTTTCGAAAAAGGACAGGCAAGCGTCCTCGGAAATCCGTGTCTATGAATTTTGGCAAGGACACGACAGCATTGAAAATGCTGCCACCTGGCACATTCACAGGATACTTGGCTCTGCTCAACGCCCGCAGAGAAGGCAAAGACAAGATCAGCCTGAAGATGTTCAACGAAGCAGCTTGGCAGTGGACTGACAGGCAATCCGCTTTAAATCACTACTATGCATTAGTTACGTCATCCTGAATCATAGTCTAACTTAGCCTTATGACCACGGCACACCTGCACCTTCAACTCATGTTGGAGTTTATCCTTTGTCATAGGTTTGGGCCGAGTCCTTTGGCACCCGCCTGGCCATCCGACCTGTCAGCCGACACGCGCTTTGCTCTGTGTGTCTACGGCACAAGCTCATCATTCGAAAATGTGGTGCAGACGAGGTGGCGAGGGACATCCAATGCCGTCAGTACGAGCAGCACTTGAAACTGCAGTACAAGGACCGTACTTGCTACTGGGAAAAGAGGGGCCTCGCCAGGCTGAGATCCTTGCAAGGCAATGGACTGTATCCATTGAGCCTCATAATGGACGGTGCAGACCACAGCAAGTTCGCCTGCCCAAGATCAGGAGTCTTCTCCGGAAAAGACTTCTCCTCTTTGCACCGACCGACCATGGACCTGGTTGGATGTCTGCTGCACGGGCAGTCAGCCTGCCTGGCGTTGAGCCACCCGCGCCTGGCGAAGGATTCGTCCTACTCGACGGAGCTCCTCTATCACATGCTCCACCGCGTTTCCAGCCGCGTGGATCTTCGTCAAGCTGAGCTCTTCCTTCAAGCTGATGACACGACTCGCGAAGTGAAGAACAATACTCTTCTGAGAGCAATCAGCTTGCTTGTGGCATGCCATCGGCTGGCACGGGGGCAGCTCAGCTGCCTTATGTCTGGTCACAGTCACGAGGACATCGACCAGCTGTTCGCATCAATGAACACATTCATCGAGCGACACAGCGACATCCCCACGCCGTCAGCCTTCAAGGAAGTCTTGGGGGAGTTTTTTTGGCCGCAGCAAGCTGGAGAGTAGGCTGAGAGGTTCGGAGCCTCGCTCTTGTCTCGGCCGAAATCCACGGATTGATTCTGACACGCGCTGCCTGCCATGTGTGCTAGCCAGCAAGTAGGCTGAGAGGTTCAGAGCCTCGCTCTTGGTCTCGGCCGAATTTGCTGGCTAGCAAGACTCATTGGAAACTAGGCAGAGAGGATCAGAGCCTCGCTCTTGTCTCTGTTCAGGTTCCTGCGCCCGGAGACTTGCCGGCCGAACGAGCCAGACCGAGAGGTGTTTGAAGTTCACTCTGTCCGAGATTGGCTCCCTGTGTGCACTGAATCAGTTCTTATTTACTTACTTGTTAATTTCAAGTCTATTTGTGAATGCCAATGCTTTAATGTTTTTGCCAAAGATCTGCGTAGATTTGAATTCATGGTCCTACGGTAACATTTCGTGCTCCACTTGAACTGACGTTCGTGCAAAGGAAAATGAAACTGCAGCTAGCTTGCTGCTACAGTCACCTCGGTGGAATAGCTGGGCCCGGCGCACCACACGTGTTCGCATTTGATCGCATTGGCACGCTGCGTTTTTTGGACCGCAGCAAGATGTGAAGTGTTCTTGGTGACGGGACCAGACACAAACATTGTTCAAAGCAGCATTAAATTATCATTGGTCTGACTGAGGCATTGATCGTGCCGACGTGGACTGCCGCTACTGGAACAAATTGGGATATGGAACGAAGATCCCGCACCACGATTCTGATGTGGTTCTCAGGTGGGATTCAGGGAGGGGAGCCTGCTCGGCTGTCATTGCCAGTTGGAAGTAGAAGTGGACATTGAGTGCCCGTCGTGATGTTGCCTGCAGGACCAAGCAGAACATGTCGGACGAGCGTTGGGGCAGACCAATCCTGCATTTGCCGTATGCGGTGGCTCAAGTGGCAGCTGCTGAAGGAGCACCTAGAGGCCAGGCTACTGAGGTTCTGTTAGAAGTTGAACTGCAAGTCCAGCTTTGTCTTTCTCCCCGCATGTCATCCCCAATTTAAGTTGAGCGCGGCAGTTCTTTGCAGCGACCGGGCCAACGACGAGAAAAGCAACCAGAACTGGCTGAAGATGGCATCAATTCTGCGTTTCTCAGCTGCGTTCACACACGGACCAACTCATCATGAATGAGAGCGACCGCAGCCAGGCAGCGAGCCCTACCATATGACGGATGCTGCGGGATTTCTCACCAACCTTGCCGAAAGGACGGACGGGGCCGGCTAGAAGGGGTGCTCCCCTAAGGGGTGCTCCGCTAGGGCTTCCACGGACTGAAAGGCTTGCTGCAAACTCTTAGGCGATGCCTCCAAGAAATTGATACTAGCCCGCAGGAAATCAAGATATCCTTATGCAAGGGGGTGCAAGTGTCGGCAGTGCTCAATCTAAGCGAGGTCCAATATCCAAAACACATGACCAAAAGTAAGCCATCCCACCATACAGCCCGCCGGGGTTTAACCAGATGTTTGTCATGGTATCCCTAAACCAGGCAGTAGAGCTTGCAGAGTGAGTTGTTGCATCACGGCGGTCTTGAGTTTTTTAATCATCACCGTTAACAGGCCTGCGTCATCTCGGCCAACACCCCCAGCACCAGCAGCAGCAGCAGCAGCATCACCACCACAACGACGCAGCATCATTGCTACGTCGTAAACTCCGGCCATGAAGTTGGTGTCAGATCCTCGAACACGCAACCGTGGATCTGCTGAGCTGCTGCTATCCCTCGCCTCAGGTGAAACATCGCGAATGCAAGCATCGAAGGCAACTGCGTGGGATTACGGATGCCGAATGCACATACTCGCAGTGGAGCCAAGCGGCACCCACTTCACCGAAACGGTCTTCAATCGGCACCGCTCCTCAAGCTTTCTCTGCGCTAGCAGCATGTCAGCCGGGCTTGCCAAATCCAAGCCTCACCCAAGTTCTAAATCTCACAAGAACCGGCACGCATTTCGACGTCTCACGAGATGACCCGCCTTCTCGGTTTGCAATAGCCTCCATTTCTTGCAGCCATCGCTGAACCATCACTTTCATCTCAATCTCGGACTCCATCAAACTGTTGCCATCCTTTTTGCGTTCTCTGGGCGCCAACAGGGAGGACCTCCCAGGACCGCTGTGACAACATGACTTGCCGGGGCCAGAAAATGTACATGTCAAGCAGTGCTACATGCACGAGTACTAGACCATCAGCCAGAGTACCCTTCTCTCCACCAGTTAAGTGGAACAGGAGGCGACGTGGCATTGTGTTTGGCCATCCTTAGTTTCTGGTTACTGGGCCGGGCCATATGGTGCCCTTTTCTATAAGCTATACATGAAAGCCAACAAACATTTCAACGAGGCTCCGCAGTTCGACCTCGACCACCACCGTGTCCGGAACACGCGTAAGAACTTTATTGATGGTCTGCCAATCCGTCACTTTCTTGTACAGCTCGGGCCACTGAGCTTTGATGGCGTTCATCATCTCCCTGGCGCTTTGCTCAACGTCACCTGACTCCACATGCTGGCTTGGGATTCTGAGAGGTTAGAATAAGGCAGGGGTCAGCACGTGCGTTGCCAGGGTGGTTATGATACAGCTGAGGCCAATCTGCCGGATGGCGCGCACGATGCTAATCCAGTGCAGCTTCAGCGACTCCTGCAGCGCTGCCGTGCGCGTTGCGCCTTCCAGGACCAGCATGAACCGTGGATGCCTGCCATGGTAATGGACAGGCGCATGAGCCAGCATAGCACGCAGCCAATCCGGGCACCGATCCCGGACATGGGTATAGCAATACCAGCCCACCACGTGAAGTGCACAGATCCGGTGGTGGCCTTTCCAGAATCCGGTGATCTCGGGGTCTTCCTCTAGGCTGCAGGTCTCTAACGTATCCCAGGCCCGCCACGTCTGGGCCAAGCATAGATTCTGGATCTTCTCCTTCAACGCAGCTGCCCCGACACTTCGAAACCCGATCGTTGCATCCGGACAACCCGGCAGCGCCCAAGCTGGCATCTCGCCATGTTGGTTTGGAGCTGGCAGCATCTGCTGAACGGTTAAGCCTGCACCCTCAGTTCCTGCAAGCTGCTGCAGCCAGGAGGTGTACTCAGCATACTCGCCCTCGCCACTGCCAATCTTGTGCAAGACGCCCATAGCTGCCTTATTTGCGCGTTCTCTTAAGACAGTTGCCGCGGCCCTGGACAGTACACATGACTCTTGTGCTCGCAAGACACGGAGCAGTTGCCTGCATACCATTCCTGCACAGACGCCCCAAAGGCATCCATGAGATCGTCTGCCATGGCCAATGTCTCTTGTTGCACTTGTAGACCTTTCTACTTTTCCCCGTCAGCCCGCCATGGCCAACGTCTCTTGTCGCACTTGGAAGCCTTTCTACTTCATAACAAAAAGCCCGCTATGGCCAGCGTCTCTTGTTGCACTTTGAAACCTTTCTTCTTTACAACAAAGAGCCCAACGTCTTCGCTCGCGGGTGCACTGCTTGTCTCGCTCACGGTGACTAACATTTGCTCGCGGCAAACAAGGCATGCAAGTGACATTCTCCTGGAAGGTGCATGCGCCTTTGCAGCCCGTCCTGCGAACCGGCTCGCGTTTGCCAGGCGATCTAAGTGACCTAAGTACAGCACGAAGTTTCCATGCTTGCGCCACTTCATTCCTATGCGGCATACTTAGGTCAGGTCAGTGGCAGGCAGGACAGTTCCAGTTTCAAGCACTAAATTCCGGCGTATTTAGGCCACTTAAATGACAGGCTAGAAAACACCAAGCCACTATATACGGCGTATTTAGGCGAGTAACAAGCTGGAAACCACCAAACCGCCAACTCGGGCATATTTCGGCCGGTGAAAGGCCGGAAAAAATACGCGTTCAGATGTCAGGAGTGCGACAGACGTCTAGCTCGGTGTAAGTTTACGGTATATTTTGGATGTTTGGAAACGAGGGCTTCCGCTAAATACGGCGTCTTTAGTGGCTCGGACCCCCCCCCACGTCCTGAGGCCATGCTTTTTGGAAGATCCGTGGTGTTGCAAATGATCACGCAGAACCCATCGCTGACGTGAGGGGGGGTCCAAGCCACTAAATGCGGCGTATTTAGGCCAGTGACGTGACATGCTGGGCAACAGCAAGCCGCTAAATACGGCGTATTTAGGCCACTTAAGTCACAGGTTGGAAAACACCAAGTCACTAAATGCAGCGTATTTAGGCTAGTGACGTGACAGACTGGACAACACCAAGCCGCTAAATACGGCGTATTTAGGCCACTTAAGTCACATGTTGGAAAACACCAAGTCGCTAAATGCGGCGTATTTAGGCTAGTGACGTGACAGGCTGGACAACACCAAGCCACTAAATACGGCGTATTTAGGCCACTTTAAGCCACAAGTTGCAAAACACCAAGTCACTAAATGCGGCGTATTTAGTCTGGTGACGTGACAGGCTGGACAACACCAAGCCGCTAAATACGGCGTATTTAGGCCAGTTAAGTCACATGTTGCAAAGCAGCAAGTCACTAAATGCGGCGTATTTAGGCCAGGTAAGTGACAGGCTGGACAACACAAAAACCGCTACATGCTGCGTACTAGGGGTTGTTGAAGGCGAAGTTACGGTGAACGCTCTAGCAAACCAGAGTCACCTTGTGCTGAGGGCTTTGAGACGAGCATGAAAACGTCTAATCATGCTGTGTCATCCTGCTCACACTGTGGTGGGTGCTTAAGCAAGGGCTAAGTTACGGTTTATGCGCATGAAAAGACCAACGCTTGTGCGGTGTCATCCTGCTGACATCAACTGGGGAACAGCGCCCACAATCTTCTGGAGTTCGCATACTGTCGCTGGTTTCTAGGGATCCAGGCCGGTGTTTCGAAGACGATGCACAAAGCTGGGCTCCTCCTCCCAGCTGCCCCGGGTCTGTGAAAGCAGAAACCTTTCCGGGATGTCCACCGGCCTCGAAGATTCCGCAAATGCCGCATGGCCCAGGTTGGGAGGATTTGGCTTTAGCCTTAGCTTTAAGTCGCGGGGGTGGAGATCTTGAGGATCCTCAACGTGTCATTTGTGTACACAATCTCGGCCACAAACCTCAACACTGATGGACAAGTAACTTTCTTTCGAACTTAGAGTGAATGATACAATGCGTCGTTCTATGCTGGGATATACGCTGCCTTTTTTTCTGCTGCCACACTGAAACAGCCAAGCGCAAACAATGCTTCAGGTTTAGGGTCTCGCATTACGATACAAACTACCCGGCTGAGGGAGTTCTGCAGGTTCAAAACGTATGTAAATAAACAAGGCGGCAGAACGCGCGCCGGTGCTTCGAATAATTTGAAAAACAACTCGAACAACCCGAGTTTGCAAGCCCGAAACATAACTAGACAGAACGTTAGCTCGTCGAGCTCCTGCGCTTCCGGGGCATTGGCGACACAGCAAAACTAGCGATCAATCTGGCTGAACGTCTGCTCCTCTGAGAAATTTGAAGATAAACGATAGATCTCGCTGTAAATTTAGAGTGCTGATGCAACCAGGTCTGTCATCCGAGCTATGTGGGGCCAGTGTGCTGGCGGCACAGGCGATTGCTCTTTGGAGCTCAAAACCATCTCAAATGATCTCAAACAAAGCTCAAACGAACCAGATCGATAGCTCTAAGCATACTCAACAATGAAGGATTATATGCCTCTAACTCGTCATCAATCTGCTTCTCTCACTGTGTACACTTAAAACATTAAACCATCCCACTCTAGACAATTAGTGCTACTGTAAGCAGACGTCATCCGAGCCATGTTGGGCCAGTGCGCTGGCAGCACAGGCGCTTTTTGTTTGGAGCTCAAAACCATGTCAAATGATCTCAAACAAAGCTCAAACTAAGCAGATCGATAGCTCTTAGCACACTCAAAAGTGAAGGCCTATATAGCTCTAACTCGTCAAGATCCTGCACTTCCGGGGCAATGGGCGCCACGCAGAATTAGCGATCAACGTGTAGCTGCGCAGAGCAGACCGACATCATTGCCAACATGTCCGTCCGCGACCTGGGGTCCACGCATGTCAGCCCCGTGATGAGGTCATTCGCACCTTCAACTTCTGGTCCCAATATGCAGGCAGGCCTTCGGGCGCTAAGGCTTCAGCTGGCGGAAACAGATGGAAGCAGCCTGCACGTCCTTCACGGCACATGATCGCAAAGACAACGCAACCAATGGCGAAGCAGTCAGCTGAGGCGGCGAGCGTGACATTTCATCGGACGGCATTTTGGCAGTCGGTAGCCCTGCGTGTAAACCTGGGTCCCAACAGCTTGGGCTTTGCCGTCAACCAAGCGCATGGCCAACCCGAAGTCCGCGACCTTGATGTGTGACTCATCCAAGGACAGCACGATGTTGTTGGGTTTGCAATCGCAGTGTAAGACCTGCTTCGCGTGGCAATGAGCCATCCCTCGAGCAAGCTGGAATGCGAAGCGCCACCGAGTGAGCAGCAAGTTGTCGTAAGCAGCCCTTGTTGCCGCGTTGGGTGGCCAACAAAGCTGGTGAAGAGCAAGCCACTCGGACAAGGAGCCCCGCCCAAGCTCCAAGAGCATGCCTACGTTCACAGTGTCTGCCATCATCGAGTGACAAATCAAAATGTTGCAGTTTGGTTAGCAATAGTCAGCGAGTCAGCGAGTGGGCAATAGGATCCCATCACGTGCTTGACTAGGTGCGAAAAGCGGCGTGAGCTGTCATGGGTTTTATTTCAAAGGCCTCGTTTATATAACTCAAGAGGTTGTTTCACCAATCATTCCTCGAGGTTTCTCACGAGACGTCGAGATTCTGCTGTTGACAAAGCCTAACGGCGTTGCTGGTGAGCACCCCTTAGCTCCCCACCCCTTTTGGGATGCTCCAAAGACGGACGTTCGGTCCCCGCCACTGCCAGTGAGCCAGGCTCTTGCAACCCCTGGGCCGTCTGTGGGTCGTGGCCCTGCTGGACGGCCGCCCACGCCGGAGGTCGTTTTCCGCCCCGTGCCCGGGCTCTATGCCACGCTTTCTTTTTGAAGCAGTAAATACTAACCATCCAATGTCAATGTGAGATTGGCTACGCATGAATGCATCCTCAGCTCAGGATCCAAACATACTTCTTTTGCGGCAGGAGTTACCCAACAAAAAGCATTTGCAGAGATATCGGCAAAGTTCGGCCAAACAGAGTATGTATGCAGCAGCCGCAAAGATGTGGGCGGCGGGTGTCCCATGGCCTCAGGCACTTTCAAAGTTTCACATTGTCTTGTGAGAATGACAGGGTATTGCAGCAATTTGAAATAAACTTACGGTGTGATGTGTGTAACATGGCATGATTAAGCATGACATACATCATTCATTGTGCAGGCTTTGCACATCATGAAGGAGGCCTTCGCGGCTGTGGACTGTTGACGGGGAGCCAGAATTTTGGAGAGTAGCCTGAGAGGATCGGAGCCTCGCTCTTGTCTCGGCCGAAACAGGAGATTCTGATTCTGCGCGAAAGCAGGCGGAGAGGATTGGAGCCTCGCTTTTGTTTCGGCCGAAATCCATGGAATCTGGCGCGAAAGTAGGCTGAGAGGTTCAGAGCCTCGCTCTTGTCTCAGCCGAAATCCAAGGAAGCAGAATCTTTGTCCACGCAAGAACAACAAGTTTGTCTCCATGCTCTGGCTTTGGGCAGCTCCATGCCGATGAATGAACTCAAAATAATTCAACATATGATTGTTACCTGGTTTTATTTTTCTTTGGCTCAAGATGCACTTTGACAAGTTGATCCTTATTATATAGGCCCAAGCCTGCATGGCGGCTGTTAGCATCCTCCCGCTAGCAAGGCACTGTCCTTTGAGCATGGCTCACAAGCCAGGCCTGCTGGGGAAATCGTCGAGCAAGTTCAACAAGATGACACGTGCCTGGCGCGAGGTGCCAGCAGCCTCGGGGTACAATAAGATCAATGTCAAGCCAACTACTACGTCAAGCCATCCACCTCAGCTCCAAGGTGGGAAAAAAGAGATGGCTTCGCCAGGGGTCAGCGAGAAGCACATCCCTTTCACAGGGGTCACCCAGAATCAGATCCGGAAGCGCAGCAAAGCCTGCCAAGATCTCCTTCAGCAGACACGGGAAGAGGTGGAATGCCTTGACCTAAAGCCGGTGGTCCGTTGCGAGCTCATTGAGCTGGCTGAA